TATATATATATATATATATTTAAAATGCTTAAAATTATATAGAAATAATAGAATATGGAAAGTTTAAAATTAAGAAGCCTCTGAAACACTCGCTTAAAGCAAAAATATCATCACATGTGGCATATAAAACTGACTTATATATACAATAATACAATCAACCATTCTCTTTCATCAATGAGAAAATATATTCATCGATCTCGTTATGTACTATTCATATTACCATTTTTGAGCTTTCAAACCCTATAACTTATGTTATGTTGTGATAATAAAATCAGTTTCTAACAACTATACTAAGCTTTAATTTAGAATATTTTCGCTAAAATAACATTAATGTTAAATATAATAATATCCTAACATTTTAATTTCATCCAATTAATATTTCACCACATATAATTTTATTTTTATTGGACTCCATTAGGTCCAACCTATCACAGCTTGTATATCTTCGAATGGAATTTTTAAGGTGTCTTAACTTTGATGATCAAGCAGGTGATTGTAAGAGATGATGAAAGTAAAATGAGAGCAAATGTATGTCTTGCATCTTCTGTTCTTCCCTTATATTGTCTTTCTTTAGTTGTTACCTGTTAGAGCGATTTTAGCTACATAAGTTTTACAAGGATCCACCCATACAATCTTATGTTTTTCGAGTGTCGGTTGAGGAGATATTTCCAACTATCATCCAATATTGCAATGCACTTGCATGTATATTGATCATGTGCTAAGAATCAATGCCCTCAACTTATAGGTGGTGATTTAGGTTGTTTAAATCGGAAAACCAACAAGTGTCAATCCAAAACATCTTAAGGCAAACAGTAAATAACAATTCATGTATGTATTTTGTATCATTGAATGAAGACACATTCTGTGGCACCCATTTTAGTAAATATAACGTTGCTAGTTATACAACATTGTAAAAAAATGACACCGCATTTCTTCCATATAAACCATTAATGCATCTTTTTCATTAAAAGAATAAAAATTACTTTGTGTTTATGTATTTTAAAAGTTATTATGAATTTTAATCTCCATTATTTTTTATGTATCTTAAAATTTAGAGTAATTTTAATTTAATTATAATGTAGTATATATTTATTTACTATTTAACAATTGGCATTAAAATATATTAAATTAAAATTAAGATCAATAATAAAATATTAATTAAAAGAATGAGATATGTTGTAAGGTCTATTGAAAAACTTTAGCAAGTCTGTATATCCGTTGGAGAAAAAAATTATTGAATTGCTTAAAATAAAAAATAATAATATAACATTGTGGGGAAGTATGAAATATTTTTTAAATATAGTATAGACACTCATGCATGTAAGTTTTTTTTTTCTTTTAAGATGTGCTTATACTCTATAATCTTTTTTGTTATCATTGAAATCAAATTAAATATATATTAAAAAAGCTTACAACAATTCATGTATCTTAATTACTTAATCAACTGAATTGATCTCTTTGATTACTCTATAATCTTTGGTTGTAGGAAAATAGGGACAAGGGATAAAAAGTTTTATATATTTTTTTTCTTATTTGCTTTAAAATTTTGGAAGAGAATGTAAAGAAAATTAAAAAATAATAATAATAAAAAAGAATAAAATGTTTCTTATTATTTTTTGTCCAACCCCACAAAGAAGAAAAAATGGTTTAAAATATTATAAAATGTTAAACATTTTTAACTAAATAGATTTTAATAAAAAATTTGTTGTAAGTTAATTATTTAAAAAAATCTAGCATGTTTTGGCTTGTTATAGGCCAGATCATAAACTTTATCAAACCAGTTAACTTACTTTTATCCCTAAGATTAATCTCTTCTGTTAGACCCAAATTGTAATTCCTTTGGGGAAGTATTGCACAAACAAATGGTTGTCCCGGTGATGAACCAAAACGAAACGTGTCTTTCGATTCCTCCCATGATCAAATCGAAACTAATTGACATTTCGGAATGAAGTAATACTCTTTTCCCTAAACTTTTGACAATAAATAATAAATAAAGTTTGTTGAGTGACCACCAGGTTTGGCCATCAATAATTTGAGCGAGTAGGTTGTTTCATGTGCAAGCAAAGTCCACAGGCTGGCAGTCATGCTTCAAACTTTTTTAAATTGTATCGGATCTTAAATAAGAGTACATATATATATATATGTTGAGACATTCAATATATAACAAGAATTCTGTGTGGAAATAATTGGCTTGTTCCTGCCACTGAACTTTGAGTAGATCCTCAAAACACGTATACTAATACACGCTTAAAGGGATGATGCTAATGTTACCTTTTTTTCGTTGTTAATATGTTAATATATATGTTACTATAATAAATGTTGATCGATATATATCGTGCGTATTGTGATAATGATCTTAATGACTAAAATAGATTCCATACGAGGGTTCTCTTTTCTACCCTATAATAAATCCAAGTACCGTATACAACAGATGATATATTAGGTAAGATTTGGATTCCAAACAATTACTAATTTGATTATTTTAATTACGTGTATTTCCTTCTAATAATATATCATTCTAGTTCAATTTTGCTTTACTAAGAGATGACTTTTCCAACCCCAATAGGCAAACTTATTGTCTCAAACATATACTTGGACGGCAAGAAAGCTACTGAAATTTCTAGATCATTGATGATGCCTTCAATTTTTCTCCAACAACATAGAGGAACATCAAATGACATGGGAAATAACTAATGTATTCGGGAGTTGCATGAGTAATATATACCTCACTTGTCATGTAGTAAAGCTCTTAGAAAGCCAAAGTTTAAAAAGTATTTTATAGGATAAAATTATATTTAATTAGTGTAATTACTTTAAATACTTAGTGACTAAAATACTCTAACGTTTAAGTAAGATACTCAATAGGATAAATAATATATCATTTTATCTTGTAATTTGTTATTAGTTATAT